CTGAATGTCGAGCAGACCAACCTTGGCCTTGGGTTCTGAGATACTGCCGTCACAAGGCCCATCGAGGCCATCATGACATTGGCCAGTGCTGAGGCCTTTGGCACTGATCAGGAGGACCAAGACAGCTAGAAAGTCATGAAGACCCGGCACCAACTCTGGCCTCATCATCTCGGTCCTTGGGTGAGGTAGTGGCTCTGGCCGTGGGACCACCCTGAGTGACCACAGAGCTGCTACCCAAGATGGCCTGCAACATGGGATGGTAGGCAGAGGAGATGGCTGAATCTGAGGACGTCCTGTGAACATCTTGGCACTGGAGGGGCCACCCAGGGAAACTCTGCTGCTGATTACAAAAAGATCCAGAGCAACATTAAGATTGCGGCAGAGCCCTGCGTCTGTCCCACCTACCGCTAGAGGTGTTGAGCAGAAGTACTTCATGCTCTCTGATCGGTATAAGTACCTCTGCTTGCCCGCTCGGTCCTGCTCCTTACTGGTGGTTGCGGTTAATGCGAAGGAGACCTGGGGGTGGCGGGGGCCGACTTCTAAATCAGACTAAAAATGGATGGACCCATTCAGTAGAAAAGTCTGCTCAACTGGCGATCTGCTTCTGATCAGCAAGCTAGTCTCAGTCGACAGAACGTCCACTCTGGGGCCTCCTTGGTGAAGTTTAAGGAGCTGACTCCACCTGACACCAGAGCTGAATAGTTGCTGAAGGAAAGTCAGGGGTACAAATCTTTTTACAGGCCTCACTGGACGCCGTGGACTCTTGCCACACACACATTTTCTTCCAGGACAGCCGTGAGGAGGGGCTCATGTTTTCAGGCATCTGGATTGCCCCTGAAAGTGCAGCAAAATCCATCAGGACCTACCATTTGACAGGGCAGGCCTGTTGTCAGACCAGACTTCAGGCGGTACAGCTTAATAGACTCCCAGGCAACCATGAAATTTTTGGATGTGCACACCCTGGCAACCCCCCCACACACATCTCAAGCTGCAACAAGAGCAGCAATGCCCATCTCCTCCTCAGCTGAGCCAGGACGTCTATGAAGGAAGAGCAGGAAGGATTATTATGTTGGCAGATGATAACAAGATGGGAGGGGTTGCAAGTGCTTTGGAGGAAAGGGTCATAATTCAAAATGATCTGGACAAACTGGAGAAATGGTCAGAGGTAAACAGAGTGAAGTTTAATAAGGACAAATGCAAAGTGCTCCACTTAGGAAGGAACAATCCTTTTCACGCATACACAATGGGAGGTGACTGTCTAGGAGGGAGTACTGCAGAAAGAGATCTAGGGGGCATGGTGGACCACAAACTAAATATGAGTCAATAGTGTGATGCTGCTGCAAAAAAAGCAAACATGATTCTGGGATGCATTAAGAGGAGTGTTGTGAGCAAGACAAGAGAAGTCATACTTCTGCTCTTCTCTGTTCTGATTAGGCCTCAATTGGAGTACTGTGTCAAATTCCTATCACCACACTTCAAGAAAGATGTGGAGAAATTGGAGAAGGTCCAGAGAAGAGCAACAAGAATGATGAAAGGTCTAGAGAACATGATCTATGAAGGAAGACTGAAAGAATTGGGCTTGTTTAGTTTGGAAAGAAGTCTGAGAGGGGACATGATAGGGTTTTCAGGTATCTAAAAGGGTGTCACAAGGAGGAAGGAGAAAAATTGTTCATCTTGGCCTCTGAGGATAGGGCAAGAAGCAATGGGCTTAAACTGCAGCAAGGGGGGTTTAGGCTGGACATTAGGAAAAAGTTCCTAACTGTCAGGGTGGTTTAACACTGGAGTAAATTGCCTGGGGAGGTTGTGGAATCTCCATCTCTGGAGATATTTAAGAGCAGGTTAGATAGACCTCTATCAGGGATTGTCTAGACCAGTGGTCCCCAACCTTGAGAGGCTGCTGGGCGCCAGGGGGGGTGGCC